GGCAATTCTGTAATTTTGATGAACAGTGTTCACCGCTTGAGCTACACCACCGGCGAGCTTCGGTTTGCTTCCAGTCGCGCGCGTGGCCGTCTGGGCGTCGTGTTGGCGCGGTAAAGGCCGTAGCGTGGCTTCCTTGAGCTTCTGAGCTGTGTTATTTGGACCGAGGCGCCATCGTCGTCGTTCTTTCCTCTCCTCTGTTTTCTCCCGCCGCCACCGCCATTCTTCGTTGAGCCCTCGCCGTCGAACCAGCGCATGTGTCGTCGTAGCAAAGCGCTCAACAGCTTCGCCTCTTCCTTGCGCGCTAGCCGAACCATCCTTGACGCTAGATTTCACCGTGGAACGTCGCTTGCCGCCCTTCTTCCTCGCGGCCGGCAGCACCACCGTGGTGTGCGAGTCGCCGTGGCCAGCGCGTTACGGTGAGCCTCTGCTATTTCTAACTCTTGCTTCAGCTTCGCCTCGATGCCGTGGTGCTTTGTGCTCGGTTGATTGACCATTTCCTCCACCACAGTCACCGGAGCTTCGCCATCGTCGAAATTTGCTCCGCCGTGACCGCTGTGACCGTCGAACCGTGTCTCCGTTGCTTCTCAGGCTCGGCCAGCGACCCCAGTGTGTTCGGGGTGAGCTCCTGGTTCTACCCGAGTTGTTTGTTTCATCGTTACCGAGCTCCTATCACCGGCGTAGTGCAGCCGCGCTGCCATGTCCGCCATGGCCGTCGTCATGCTCATGCGCCGCTGTAATTGGTCCCGATTGTGCCACCAATCGACGCGTAGGGGTGTAGGGGTCATTTTAGTACCTTGGTCGTCGCCGTTGAGCTTGCCGTCGGTGAGTTTTCACCGGTCAGCGCGCGTCTCGCCGTGGTCAAAGCGCGAGGTAGAAGATGACAAGTGGGACCCGATTGTCAGTGACTCAGCATTCAAAATAAATTTTCTGTTTTTCAGATTTAAATGAATAGTGTCTGTTTTTATTATTTTTGTGTAGATTTATTTAGAGCTCGAAAAATTATGAAATTTTTGTGTGACTTCTTTGTGATGTGTACTATATAGGAAAAATATGAAATGTTGTTTTTTAGTACTTTTTGAATGTATTGAAAATTGCTCAATTAATTAATAAATGAGTTTCCAGGATTTTTCTAGACTTATTTATGTATCCAAAAATTATGAAAATTGTTTTGTCACTTAGTTATCATGTGATGAACATATACAAAAATTTTGAGGTCAATTGGAACAAGTTGATTTATTTCATAATTATTAATTAATTAATTCATTCATAAAAGCAAATAGTAACCTTTAGAGATTTAGGTTTTGTTTGAGTTTTTGATTAAGTGATGTCCTTGGGTCATTAGTTGGTAATGATCCTTGGCAATTGTTATGAGTGTTGTGAAAATGGTTTAGTTAGTTTGACTTGTAACTGTACCGCGAAGGAAAGTTATATTCAAGTTGTTAAGTTTTGCATCCATCATCGAGCATCATATTTTGTATCCGCATCATGTTAAACACGGCATTGTTACTATGTGTAGTGAACGAAGGTGAGCACGTGGTAGTTAATCAAGTAGTTGAGGAGGTTGATCCGTCTATGGAAGTTGGTGTTGATATTGGTGGAACGACTCCGGACCCAGACTTTTCCATCAACGAAGGCAAGCCCCGGATGCATACAACCCTACCTTGTATTTTACAAATTGATTTTGCTTTTGCTTCTTTTTACTGCATTAAGTGATTAGGAGTCAAGTGAAAACCAAATTGGTACATTACCAACCTTGTTATTCCATATTTACCATGTTACAAGTTTTAAATTCGTATATGCCAGTTTTGCTTAGCTATGCTTAGAACGGTGAAAGTTGGGTGATTACCTGTCATCTGCAAGCTTTAAATTGAGCTTTGGTTAATTATGTTAACATGTGATATGGGAATGTGGAGTAATAAATCTAGACCGGGCGGACTCGCTGTGTGTGAGCCACAAGACATGGAGGTCTTGTGAGCAGATTCTTTCCGCCTGTGTCGATTAAGGTCCGTCCGTTGTTGAATTGCATGAGGTGAGACTTTGTAGTACTAGCCACATACTTCGGTAAGCCTTAACTTGGCTATTCTATTACGAGAATGGCTACTCGCGCACTGGGAGTGGAGAGATGGCGGGAATAGCGTATACCCACGTGGCAATGTGCTAGATTGGTGAAGTACTGTATTCTCGGGTGGCGCGGACCCGTTCTTGTTTTAGAGGATCCGAGGGTAGGTTGGTATATGTAGGTCGGGGACCTCCATATGTCGTGTGGTCTAGAATTCCCAGCTGGGTTATAATCGGTTCGAATCGTCGTTGCTCCTCGGTTATGGAGACTCAACTTACTGTTCATCATCGTAGTAAATAATAACTGGAACCTGAGGATGGTATGAGAAAGTGTTGGATACGAAGTTTCATGATCTCAATATGGATCGTGTCAGCTTTGTATATGATCTTTATGAAGTTTTAAACGTTGATATAAAGAATTTTGTTAAAATGCTTTTACGCAAAAGAACCTTGATTATTGCTAAAGCCATACCTTGAATCCCATGAGCCTGCATTCCTACGTTCTTTTAAATTCTTATTTCGGTTAAGTCTTGTTGAGTACTTTTATACTCAGGGTTCTTTGACCCTTGTTGCAGGTGAGGCTCATGAGCAGATCTGTTTTGGATCGTGCTGCATGACTGTTGTTCAGTGCGATGACGATAATTAAATGTGTGGCCTTTGGGCAGGGCAGCTTAAGTTGTGTGTTTTGTAATATATTATAATGCCACTCAACTACTTTGGTTTGTTTTATTATCGAACTTAGTTGTATGGTTTGAAACAAATAGTTTGTAAACTATGTTATTGTAAGACTTTCGCTGTTTTTACTCCGATGTATCTATTTAAATTAACTGTTGTAATACTGCAATGACTCTGTAATGTGATCCTGCTTAGAAATCGTGGATGATTCGGGGTTCCTCGAGGACACCCGACAGTCTTCTTAAGTTACCGGGAACGTATGCATAGATGTCAAAGGTCGTTGGACAGTGACAGGTGCATGTGGGCCCTATAATTTAGGAGGTTCTGCCACATCATGGTTAGACACGCTGCTCTAACTCGTATGGGCACGAGAGGGATTGGGTCTGTGGATCCTGATCAGATGGTTGTGAGTGATGATGGACCGAGAAATCTTCCTCTCTTTACTATCAGGTAGAGAGTAGAGATGGATATATGTGCTTATTTTAGGCTATTTTCAATGGCCTGAAGTGGCTTATTTTTAAGAAAAATAGATAGATAATATATGTTCTTCTATCTATTGATTGTTCTTTAAGTGTTCCACTTGAGGCATAATATGTGGAGCCCCTAAAAGAAGCCTACAATTTTTAATAAGATAATTGCTCGGTTCAACAACAACGCGAGCTAACATATTTCACAGCATGATACAATGTTGAAGTATAAGTGAATTACCCACATTGTCCTACCATTTTAAACTTTTAGGTTGAATTACTTGTAGCATATATGTCAATATGATATCAAAGCTAGAGGTCATGAGTTCGGACCATAGTTGAGTTAAAGTAAAATTGTTTCGTGCTTCTATTGCATGTTCGAGGCTTGTGGGAGCCTCCCCACAAGGAGTGTTGAAGTACAAGTAAACTAACCACCTTTTTATCACTTTAAACTTTTATAGGTTAAACTAGTTAGTGCATACAACTAGAGATGAAAGAAGAAATGTAACATATCTTTTACCGGGACTCGTTTTCAAGGTTTTATCATGTTTTTGGAAAAAATAGAAATGGGATTGGAGATGACAAATTTGAAAATGATAACATTTTTTACCCTTTTCAACCATTTTTGCAAATTATCATTTTAGGTCAAAAATTGCCGATGATATACCCTTTTGCCTAACCCACATGGTTCACATGTGTGTGAACTTGTACAAGTAGAACATGTTTGTTGTTAAAAAGAAGTAAAACATGCATTATGATTTTTGTACTACTATGCATTATCGATGACCGACGAATATAGACATATTGTGATACCAGTATCGTATTTTTTCTGGCCAAATCATTTTTGTTTCATTTCCGTCAAATAATCTAGAAATGGAAACAATTTAGGGATTTTCAGACTGTTTCTTATGTACAACTCAATGCACAACAACCATGTTGGTTTTGCTTGAATGTTTCTTCTTTTAGCATTAAAGCAAATTATGCATGCATCTCTCCCCTTTTTCAATCAGAAATGCTATACAACGCACATGTGTTTTAGCAAAAAAAAAACATATGGATTTTTTTGTCCCTCTCTCTTTTCAACTGTCTCTCAGAGTCAACGAGCGAGTGCGCCCGGCTCGGCCAATCCACGCGCAGGCAATACCTGGCGTCGACGGGCCGGCCCAGCGAAACAACGGGCGCCAGCGCCAAGGGAACTTGCTAGCCCAGCTGCTGTATAGACACACCTTTTTTTTTATCCTTGCATAGAAAAAAATTTGTTTTTTGTGATCTTGCGATTTGTGATTGTCTGGAGGTAGAAGAAGGCTGGAAGTAGAAGAAGATTGGAGGTAGAAGGAGGTTGGAGGCTGTTAGATCTTAATTCTATGGTGAAAAAAAATCATATGTGCATAAAACACATGGTTATTGGGTAGACAGACCATTTTCAATTCATGGGCCCTCCATGCATTTCTTACGTGTAAAAAAATCTGTAACCACTACTAATACAATCCGTACATCCCGATTGCTCCAGTATCATTTATTATATTAGTTACACGGATAACTATTGGTTGTTGGGTGTCGGGTCGATCTGGTGTTCAAGTTGAAAAATGATCTGAAGGACGTAACCTGCACAATATCCCTTACGTTATGTTTGGCGGACTTCGAGTTTTTCAACAACTTCCAAGATCCTGTTTTTATCAAAGAACAAACACCGGATCCTCTAATTTACCAATTTGACAAATATTTGACCCTTCACAGTCGGGATGAGTTTGATTAATTTGGACTTTGGAGCTAAAATTATGCATATACTCCCAATACAAGGTGACGCTGGCGCTACAACCTCTGTTCAAGCGTTCGGTGACGTTCACGGAGCGGGACGACGACGACCTGACGGAGCAGGTGGCCAAATTTGGGTACCAGCACGAGTTCGCCGCCATCTCGTGGTTCCCGGCGCACGGGAGGGTGGTGTACCGCATTGACGACCGCCTGCCGCTGACCGCGTCCGGCGAGGGCGCCATGGACTTCATCAGCTTCCGCGCCACCCCGACGATCGCGATCCAGGCCAGCCGTCTCGCCGAGGACCTCTTCGAGCGCGCCGGCAACGGCAGCGGCAAGTGCCTGATGTCGCGGGGGATCCACGCGGCGCTGTCGGTGGCCGGGTACGGGCTGCAGCGGCGGAGCGGCGGGTTGTTCACGGGGTACCCGGTGGTGGGGCCGCAGCACCGGATGGAGGCGTCGGGCGGGTGCTTGATGGGGCCCGAGGACGCGTTGCTGACGGCGTGCCCATGGGACCCGCGCGTGCGGGCCGGCACCTTCGTCCACCAGACCACCTTCAGCCTTCCCGTGCACCGCGCCGCGGCGTTCGTGGCGGAGGTGCGCCGGCTGCGGGACCTGTAACCCAGGGCGCTGTGCGTCGTGGAGCTCTACGACGGCATCCTCATGCGCTACGTGAAGGCGTCCACGGCGCACCTGGGCAAGCCTGCGCCGCGCGGGGAGCCGTCGGGGGACATGGTGGACTTCGACATCACCTACTACCGCAGCCGCGACCCAGGGCGTGCTGGAGGAGATCGAGCAGATGGGCATCTTCAAGTACGGCGGCCTGCCTCAATGGGGCAAGAACCGCAACCTCGCCTTCGTCGGCGCTGCGCGCAAGTACCCGGGCTTGCCGCAGTTCCTGCGCGTCAAGGACACCTACGACCCCGACGGCCTCTTCTCCGGCGACTGGAGCGACATGATGCTCGGCATCGGCGGGAGGTCGCCGACGACGGACGCGCCCGGGTGCGCGCTCAAAGGGATGTGCGTGTTCTCGCGAGACGAGCACTGCGCGCCGGAGCAGGGCTACGTCTAACGCTCCGGCAAGGTGTACAAGGACGCCAGAGCCTGCACCAGAGTGTCGTCGTAGAATAAACTAGGGTAGGGGCCACAATAATGGAGCCAAAATAATTCAAGTATACTGGGTAAATTCCCCGCGTTGCTGCCAAAATTTATCGGATAATTATGAAGATGACTAATAATTTCATCACTTGAGTATGAACTAATAAGGAAATTGAAATGACAACCGAAGATACATACAACACTATTAAGAGATTAGCCAAAAGGAATATCTAAATTTAGTGATTTAGCTATTCTCTAAAATGAATCTCACCTAAAAATGATAGACTACTCCGACAAACTATCTAAGAACTGAGACTCTCCATATTTAAACCTGCCACGTCACCAGATCTTTTGTCTTCAGATGCATCCTCAATCCGTAAACCTGGTCATACGCTGCCATTTCGGATTATCACGTAGACCTCGCAGACGCCGGGAACTCAGGTTGAGCAGCGGAAAAAAATTGGGTACGCGACGGGCGCACCCACGCGCTCGTGCGCCTCCCTGCTGGATGGATGCCACATGGGCCTGGCAGGTCATGGGCAGAGCAAGTCGCGGGTACGGGCGACGGCGGCAAGGGAGGAGAATTGTGATGGGAACGAGTGCATGTGGAGCCAAGCCTTGTGCTGATCTGAAGCCCTTCAGGGGATCGTTTATTGCTGCCATGCGATGGATTCTAGGCCCACGTGGCGTCCATCCAGCAAGGAGGCGCACGAGCGCGTGGGTGCGCCCGTCGCGCACCTAATTTTCTGCCCTGAGGAGCAGCCCAGGCATCATCGTGCACGTCCAGCAGGCCACACATGGTAGGGGCTTGACCAAGCCCAGCCATCAAGGCACGCAGGGGGGCGGCCGTTGTGACATGCAGCCGGTAGCTCGGCTTGACGGTGAATCGTGGCAGCCTGCTGGTGGCTGCCCCAGCCGCTCATCAAGGCACGCAGAGGCCGGCCAGTGCAACATGCTGCCGGCCGCATGGCTTGACGAGGAATCGAGGCAGCAGCGCGTGGGAAGCAGTAAGGGATGGATGGCGAGCGGCTTTGGCTGTCCATGCATGGAGACCGGAATTTCAGGGATAGCTAGCTAGCAAATTTAAAGAGTCTGATGGAGACGATTTTTACTCAATAATAGCCATATTTACATTTACAAAACAATTTACCTAGTCTTTTGGAGATGCTCTTAGAAACTCACGTAGCGAAGTAGCGGACAGAAACAGTTTAGTAGTGGTAGGATCCGTCCATTTGTATTGCAACGAAACCCAATACATATAGTAATGAGATTTCATATCATTACTAGACGTGAGTTGTTCTAACTCTTATGGCACTCGTCATCAGTCCGGATCTCAAACGTGATAAGGAGGGCACGATCCAATATGCCTTGGAATCGGACTTTGTATTAATCATCGTTAGACATGAGTTGTTCTAACTTGTATATGACTACGTGTCATCAGTCCAGGTTACATACGAGGCACGAAGTGTGTTTGTGTAGTTTGAGTGTAAAAGGAGTAGGCGGAAGAAACTTTCCACTGTCCGGATAGTTAGGCGAGGTAAACAAAAAATATGATGAAATTTTGGCTCTTTAATATTATACTAGCAAACGCACCGGTGTGTTGCAACGAAATCCAATACGTATAGGAATCAGAATTCGTATGATCGTTGGACGCGAGTTGTTCTAACTTGTAATGAGTGCACGTCATAGGTTGTCTCATACAAGATACATATGTTGGGGGACGCCCTCGACGCGCCACCTCGCCCTAGCCTCATTCGTAGCCTGAACCCTCAACCGCTCCTTTGTTCCTCGCACAAAAGGGAGAGCAGCCAGCGTGACTATATCTGTCAAGGCCCTAGCGCGACCCAGTGAAGCCCTCACCCGCCCGCTCAATGGTGGCCTCGGTGAGGGTGACTTTAATCCAATGCTTTTGCTGGACAAAAGCTACTTGATGAGCCCCTCGGACGGGAGGTGACCCTCGATAAGCCAGCTCTAACGCCGTCGATGGAGAACGGAAGACAGAAGCCCCCAGAGATAGAGTTCCCCGCGCCATTGGAGGAGTGGTTGGAGCAGGAGCGTGGAATGTCCATAGTACCCCTGTATCCCTGTAGAGTGATGCCCTGCTTGGCAGGGGCATCATGTAATTTCGCCATGCCCCCCAATTATGGCCTATAAATACCCGTTGGGTGGCACATGAACATATGATGAATAAATGGCCATTTACTCCAGAATTTATTGCTATGTTTCCCTACTCTATTAGTTAAACCCTCACTTTCCTTTTGTTGTGGGATTCCTCAGCCCCTCCGTGCTAATCCTCAGTGAGGGTAGGAGGCCAGTAGAAGCCCCGACAGCTGTCGTCACTGAGTGTGGACCCCATTGCACCACACCCAATCAACTCACTATGACAAGGGAGTCATGCAGAACCTAGGTCAAAGAACCTCCACCACCCCAGGGCACGGTGGCCGGGACATCCTGCCATTGGCACTCAAACCATGCAGCCCACTTTGCCGCCATCGGGCACCCCATCAGCCTTGGCATGGTGGTCCCGGTAGGTAGCGTCATCATGACGGGACCTCCACCCAACCTGGAGCATCCAGACACTTTGACCGAGCAAGAAATGGAGGACGATGACTGTTGACGGTCACCAACACCAATTATAAACCGTCAACATAACCTGTATTTATACTTAATTCCATCACCAAATATTGGTATAGGGGTTTAAACTAATAAATTCCATGAGTTTTGATCAATCTGTGTTTTCAGTAGGGTTTATCCAGAAAACTATCAAGGAGGACTTATTCATCAAAGTAAATCATGTTTATCTACAACGAACCGACGTGAGAAGACTCTAGAACACTCTAGAAGGCAACCACCAAAGCAGACCCGGAGGGGCTGACATGTGGGCCTGGCCGGCCCCACCTGCAGGCCAGGCAGCCCATGGGACCCACCTGTCAGTCTCTGCTTTGAATGTCGATTGTCCACCGCCATTGAGATCCAATCTACGCCATCCTTTAAGTCGGTTTGATCTAAGGGCTCATGTTGGACGCTCCGGCCTATATATACCAGCCCCTGCCACCCTCCCTAGAGCCATACTGAAACCCTAATTCATATTCTCCTCATCAGGATCAGAGCCAGCTATCAAGAGAAGATTAGTCCTCTATAGGATTTAGTCTTATAATTAGAAATAGTGAGATAGAGATGAGGGAAGAGTTTGGAGGAGATGGCGGCCTATCGGTGCTCTCTCTATGGCTTGTACCTTGGCGGAATCAAGTTCTACTTGAGCTTGCTTCTGAGATTTCTCTGGTAATCAACTTCTGATTCAAATAAGTATTTTGTTTATATTGTCCATCAGGATGACGACTCTCTTTTGAGTGCTTTATTCTCTTCCTAGGGGGAGTAGAGTATTAATCATGAGTGTAAGCGTGGTGCTTAGACTTAGGTTAATCGTGGATGCACCCTACATTCCGGATCCATGGTAGATCGTGGTTGTGACATCAGTATTATATAGCCTCGTACTAGATAGCATCGTTGATCCTTTGTAGTCCACCTCCCGTCTATAGGCCAAGTAGGACCCAGTTAGAAAGGAAAGCATCCTCTGCTGGTCTCTTTCCCTAGTAATGTCCCCAGTTGAACAATAGAAGGCATAGCTTACCCAAGTTAGAATTAGAGAACCTCAGTTATCCTCTCTACGCTCATATTTATCCTTAGCCTTGTTGCTACTCCTAGTTAAGTTAAACCTTAACCTAGTCCTACACCTTGTTAAGTTAGACCGTAGTTAGTTTTATATGTTTCCTTGTGGATACAATACTTGGAATACTTCTGGATGAAAGCTACAACGGTATGCGTGCGCTTGCGGGTTTATCTATATGCATTAAATATACCAACAATGACGCGGCCTAGAGAAGCCAAGCTGCCCTAAACCAAATGCATGAGGAGTTACTAGAGAAAAAGCATCATGTCGAGGTATTGGAACAGCAAGCCCACATTCAAGTGATCAGACAAAACACTCTAGGCCTAGGAACAACTGGGAAGAATGGATGAGTACCTTGCCGTTGTTGAGGGTAACCCAGACTATTGCCTAATCCCAAAACAACATTAGCCTCGCCATGACCAAGGCACTGCCGAGCCATGAAACAACCCACCACCACCACCGCCCCCGCCTCCACCTCAACCCCACCTCCTCATCAATCACCTTTACCCGACCATCAACAACCTCCGCCCTTACCCAGAAACCAACCACCGCCCATGCTATACGACCCAAAGTCAACCCTAACACAAATCCTCCAAACCAAGAGATGGCCACCAGCCTAGAATCCTCAAAACCTCCCAAGGTATGATGGCAACATCGATCCTCATCAATTCATCATGAGCTATGAAGCAACCGTAACAGCAGCAGGTGGAGACGAAGCCACCATGGCCAAATCATTTGTCATCATTGCCCACGACATCGTCGAGAGTTGGTACGCCAACCTTTGCCCTAGCTATCGAATCCTGGGGAGACCTTCCAAAAAAAACTATGCTCAAACTTCAAGGGAGTCAACATCACCCCCAACCACCCAATGGACCTCTTTAGCTACAAGCAAGGGGAACAAGATCCGCTTCAAGAATACTGGCAGAGGTTCATTCAGCTAAGGGCTTACACCCCAAACATAACTAACAAAGCAGTTATCCTTGTCATAGTCAACGGCCTATGCTCAAGACCTTGCTCTTCAAGGCTCACAAGGAAACCAGCAACGAGGTTGTCTAAGTCCCACTAGGTTAATTAATTCATGCATATGAATTAGGACCTAGTGAGTATGCATAAAACCCTTTGAAAATGTTTTGGAAAAAACTAACTCACAAGCACAATTCATGGAACACTTTGGAGTTAGCACATGAGAGAAAGGGTTGAAGAAAAGAGAAGTGGATGCTACCTCTAGGGTGTTGGACCCTAACTGCACAAGTGTCAGACCAATGTTGGTTGAGTCCAATGCCTAACCCTAGCTAAGACAACGC